TGCTCTTGTAAGCAAAATTATTTTAGAGACTACAGTTGAATTTTAGTATAGTGGATTAGTGTTTCATTTCTTTTTATTGTTGTATAATGCTTATATGTTTTACTAAGCTGTTGGTTTGGTTTTCCTTTTCCTAAGGTGCTGCTACATCCTCATCTTCTTCTTCACCTTCCTCCAGTTCCATAACAGCTGCTGTTATGCTAACGTTAGCTGAACCGGCAATGTCCAGTGCATCGCAAAATGGAATGTCAGTTGAGTGCAGGTGACAGCAGGACTTGCTAAAGCACTTTGCACTTAATGGCTGTTGGGAGCCACGTCTTTTTTTTATACTGCACAGTGGCACAAAAAAAAAAAATCAGACAAGCACTATTTTATATTTAAAAATTGTTTCTTGACAAGCTGACTTGGCACTTAAGTGCACTTTTTTTTATGAAGAAAAAGTACAATGAACTGCTTTTCCTCAAGCAATAATTGTTTCCAACTTGTCTGGGAATTGTGTGTCTGGTAACTTGAAGGCCTTCCACTGTGGCAAATGGAGGCTTTTCACTGCCTGTAGAGACAATACAGTAAGCGTAGATATTGGTGGGCCAGAATATGTTAAGATCAACTTACTGTATATGTATTCCCTTGTATTTTGTTAAAGCTGGAACATTTGATATTTTTCCATTTATTTATGAAAAAATATGAACCTATTTTCATTTGTACAAGTGAATTGTTTTTTAAAGCAAGTCATCTTAGGGTGGCTTTAATTGTATAAGTCAAGCACATGTAATAAATTCAAAACCTGCAGTTAACAGGATATTAGACATCAATCCTGGTAACCAAATATTAAAGATTCTCTTTAAAAAAGACTGAATATGTTTACAGGTTTGGATTAGGCTAAAAGGTCTTGCAGTGGCTTTTCATGCCCCTTCAAATTGGAATGGAACTACTGTACTTTGCCATTTTTCTATAAATCAGTATTTTTTTTTTAATTTTGATATAACTGTGTGAAAAAAGAAAATGGCTAATAAACTGTATTAAATCTTAAACAATGTATAAAGATTGTACTTAGCCAGTTCAAAGTGTATATTTATTCATAATGAATTATAACAGTTATATTTTTGTGTTTTCTTGTAAAGGTTTCTTTTTCTTTAAATACAGATAACTCATTTGTATTGCTTATTTTATTATGAGCTACAATAAGAGGACTTCAGGAACAAGTAAATGTATTAATATGGTTCAAGGTTGTTGATAATGAAGTATCTCAAAAGGATGGTTATTTTAAATATAAATAGTTAATTGGAGTGATAGGCCTATAAAATTAAATGCCTTGTATAAAATGCAAAATGAACGCAAAATTGTTTTCACGTGTATTGACTTTATGTTGTATGATTCCAATCTCTGTTCTGTTTGGCACTTGTATTTAATTCTACACCTTTGTAAGACATTTGTATATTGCGGATGTGTTCATTCAAACTATTTAATACCTGGCACTGTTAATACACAGTACTTTACTGTACAGACTGTTTTACTGTTTTAATTGTAGTTCTGTGTACTTTCGTTGGATGGACTGGCATGTTTTGTTTGTTTTCTGGCAATACAACGTGAGAATTTCGAACCGTTTTGTTGTAGATGCTAACGTGTCAGAATCCTTTACATTCAATTTTTCTAAGAAAAGCATATTCAGTCTTGTAGTGTGTGCTTACAGTAATTTTGTTGAAAATGGTTTCAAGTAATTCAGATTTGTACAGGACTGTAAAGATTTGACAGCAAAACTTTGAAAAAAGCTTATAGAATAAAAGCTATAAAATATATATCAGGATCTGCAGACAATGAAGAATTATGTAATATATTGTACAAATGTAAGCAAAGGCTCTGAAATAAAATGCCATAGTTTGTGAATCCTTGATTTTGTTTCTAAAAGGTTAAGTAATTTTAGTTCATTTCTGTATGTGATGACTGACTGGGACATCTTATCTCCAGCACGTATTACCAGAAGGGATTAGTTGACATAGAAAAATGGGAATATTCTACCTATAAAAATTAAAAGTCCATTAGCCAGATACAGGTTTATTAGGCATTCTTACATCTCTGCATACACTATATTGCTTGACTCTAGTCTGAACATGAATATTTATCCCTTACTTGGAGGTTTGTCTAAAGGACAGAGTTCTTTTTTTTTGTTCACTTGAGACCATTACTAGCAGCTTGCTTTCCTTCTTTCCTTCTTCTTCTTTCTTTCCTCCCCTTCTTCCCCTTCCCTTCCTTCTTTCCTGCCTTCCTGCATTCCTTCCCCTTCCCTTCTCCCCCCACTATCTTTTAATTTTAATTGACTTTTGTGGGTCTCGTACTTTTAGTGCAGTCTACAACATTACATACTGGAATCGTCTAGGTATTGTTAAAACAATAGTCGGTGCTCAGGCCCCACCCTCAAAGAATCTTATTTTATTTCCTCTGGGATGATACCTGAATGTTGATCTTTTTTTTAAAGGTCTCCAGTGATTTTAACATGCATCTGGGTTGAGAACCATGCTTTATTCCAAGCCTTTGAAAATGATTAGTTTTTTTTGCCTCATTTAATGAATATCCTACTAAGTAAAATCCATTCTTTAAAACAAAAAGAAAATAAACTTTATTAAGGCCTAAAAAAGCTCAAATGTGTATTTTTTTAAAGCACCTTTACAATGTCCCTATATTTATCACCTTTATTTAAACAGGAACTAGTTTAAAGGATGCATTTTAAAATCTGTAGAACAGTGCTTCCCAAAATAAAGTCCTAGAATACTGGTCTCTGGAAATGATCTGAGAACTTACTGTCAAACGTATTTTGGAAATGCTGTAAATAGCACAACCCTTAGAGATGCAGTGTTAATGTAGTAAAAAGTTAAGAGAAGGCCTATGAAGAAACACCTAGCCAGCTTCCTTTACCCTACTGTTTTCAATCTTACCTGATCATGAAACCATGTCTTTCAAGGAACTACTACTATCACCTACTTTGTGTGTTACAAAACAGTGCTCTAAAGGAGAATGTTTGCAGTCTATGTTGGAATTGAGGTTATAACCCTTGGGCCTCTCTGCCTCTTGTCTGCCTATTTTCCTTTCTTCCCAGCTTCTGTGGCGAATTGAGAATTTCATAGTTTTACTAGAATTTGACTTAAGTTTTCCCCTGGCCATCTGAACTACATTTTATCTACCAATTTTACAATCTATGATAAAATTAAGATGGTATGATTTTTACAGTATTCTCCAAAACCTTTTTTTCTCACTGAAATAACCTGAGGGTGAGGTCTTGTCAATTTTCTTAACCTGGGGAAATTGGGAAGGTGGAGCAGATTCCATGAAACCTGTACTGTTTTTTACAAAATGTTTTTTGTATTTTTCTATGAAAAGAGTCTTGATATTTTAAACTCTTCAAAGAGGTTAAATAATCTCTAAATGGTTAAGAACAAGCTCTGAATGGCAGTGGGATCATTTTTTAACTCTCCAGCCACAGCTTCTTTTAACGATTTTCTTCTGGAAGTATGTTCTGTCTTTGTGAGTCCATTTCTACACCTTCTAATTTTAAACTATTTAAGGACTTTGGGCTAATATCATATGATGGGTTTTGTATGTATAAGGAATAGTTTAATGATTTAGTAGTTGTGAAAGTAATATATATGACAATTATGTGCTAAGTTGCATGGTCAGAGAAAACGGGTGTGTAAGGGTATATACATGTGGGCAGTGTGAGCATAAAGGAACCTGATGTGATGGCATAGAGGTGGCAAATATTCAAGGTGTTTCAGCTGGAAATGGAAGGAGCAACTAGAGAGGAGAGTCACGACAGCACTGGCCAGATGCAATGAGAATGTAGTTCTCCAGATAGGAAGTGATTCTTGGAATAATGTTAGAGTGGGGAAGGAGTGAGATTGGAGGCATTCTGAAGGAAAAATGAATTTCTACACTGGACTGTAGGATGGATGAGACGCTTGAATATGGACAGTTGAATTTTTCTCATCTCTGAAATAACAAGGTCACAAGGGAAACCAAAATAAGCAACTCAGAAATCAAAACGAGGGCCAGTTGAGTATTTTTTTTTTTCATCAATTTACCTGATTTGGGCTATAAAAGGTCAAGTATTTCCAGTGACTTCTGTTAAGCAGCTTTCAAAAAGCAGGTCTGTTCCCCAAGATTCACAGTCAAATGCTATTTTACCACCAAAACTGAATAAAATGGTTAAATTTTAATATTCACCTTTTATTACCTTAAAGTCAGTTTACCAAGGAGTTATTAGGTATGGAAAACGAACACTACAGGATGATTAACACACCCATTATCATTTAGAGAGACTGTAAAATAACGCTAGTAAGAATGCTGGAGGCTTGGAAAAAGATTGTATCTCGAAAATTTTCTTAAGACTGTATCTGACCTGGGCTTTGAAAGATGGGTACAACTTTGCATGTGAAAGTGAGGGTGTAAAAGGAGGGCAGTGGTGGGAGAACGAATAACGAGTAAGAGGGAATAATAAGGTGGTGACAAAAAACAGGCTAGAATGTGAGGCTTTGGAGGAGTTAAGTCTGGGAAGGTAGGCTGAAGAAACAAGTTGTGAGTGCCAAGGAGCTGCTTTCCTGGTGGAACAGCGGGACAGAGCAGGTAGAGCTGTGGTCTCCAACTATTGGTTTTTAACTATTTTTGAAATGATGTCAAATTTCAGAAGGGTTGTACGAGCAGTGCAAACAAGTTGCGTGTACCCGTCACTCCGATTCATCGACTCTTCATATGGAGTTACGCTCATCTCTGTAACCCCATTTCAGGTTAACCTCCTACTTCCTCTTCAACAATTCAGGGACTTTCGAACACGTTTTCTTTCTTACTGGACAGATATCCCGTTCCCAGGCTCGCTGATTCTTAGGAAACTTGCAGGCCCCAGCTTCTCGGAAGACGCTTCACCCCTAAGATTAGGCTTCTCCCAAGCAGGACCAGGTACAAACCGGCGCGGAAGCCTGAGCACGCTCGCCCACTGCCTGGCCCCCTGCGCGGCTGCGGCGGCGCCCGGAGCATTAAGAGCGTGGCTCCGGGAGCGGAAGTAGCCAGGCCCCGGAAGGGCGGCTCACGCGCTGTTGCTGCTTGGGGGACCTTGGGATGAAAATGGCCGTCGCAGGAAAGAACAAAGGGAAGATAAAGAAGAATGCCGGGGAGGGGTGAGTGGCGTGTGGTACGTCCACCTGGCAAGGTGTGCGTTCGGGAGCTCGGGCGGGCGAAGCGGCGGGGTGTGCCGTGGTGTCTCTGAGCTGAGCCTCGCGTCGGTATCTAGGGAGAATCCAGACCGCGGCGCTCGTGGGACTCTGACAGGAGACTATCTTGTCGGACAAGTCGCGGAAAGCTTGTTCCACGGCGAGCACCCCTCCGGAGGCAGCGCAGCTCTGCTGGCGTCCCTCTTCAGCTCCTTTGAGCCTCAGCTTCAACCCGTCTATGTGCCTGTGCCTAAAGTAAGTTATTGTGGTCTGTTTCGAATGGCTCATTAGAACAGCTTTAAAACAAGTTAATTTACCTTTCGGAGCATGGTTTCTAAAGGGGGGCAGATAGGATTAATTTTAAGTAACCTTTTATATTGGACATCCCAGTGAGAGAGAAAAGATGCCAATTGAGAAAGACTACTAAATTATTAAAAGGGATGAGGTCTCAAACATAACTTCAAACTTTTAATAGGAAATCACGAAGAAAAAAAAAAGGGGTGAGGAGGAAGAAAATACATCCCAAATTCAAAGACCACTTTTGCAAGAACCTGCAAAAAAAATGAAAGTGAACAAGAAGCTTTCTGATGCAGACAAAAAGTTGGCAAACAGGTTGGTAAACTTATCTTAATGTTAAATTTGATGTAAAATAATTGAGATTCTTAATACCTGCAATATTCATCGTAATTTTTTTTCCCGTTTCATAGTTCTAATTAAAAAAATTTTTTTTGTTATGGAAAATCTCCCCCATGTGCCCAGTATTAACAATTATTAATATGTGGCCAATCTTGTTTCACCTTTACCCCATTTATATCCCCCTCATTATTTAGAAGCAAAGCTAACACATTTTATCTGTAAATGAAGAAGATGAATTTGGTGTTCTTAAACTTAGAGATCAAATTGTCCTTATTAACTTAAAAAAAAATATATATATATATACACACACACATATATATATATATATATATTTTACAGTATTTGTATATCTAGACCCAAATCACAGTACCACCACCTCGTTAACTTTCCTGTCTATCATGCTACTCTTTTCAAGCCCCCTAGTTCTCTTTTCTTAGCAGGTGATCTTGTTACCCAGTCACAGCTGTTAACTGCTAACGCTATTTTTTGTCCTCCTGTGAAAACATCTATGCACATCCTTAGTTTCTTCCATCATCTGTGCACATCCTTAATTTCTTTCCCTTTCTCTCAGAAAGGTGCCTTCCTCCTCCTGTACAATCACCTATGCTGTGTATACCACCTTCCTCTTCCTCCTTAGGGATTGTGCCATGAGATATATCCATTTTCTCCTGTTTCCTGTTGTCTTTGGTCTGTGCACCATATTAATGTGTTCAAGATTCTCATCTTAAAAAAAAGAAATCCGACAAAACCAAACACATTCTATAGTCTCTTGTCCCTTTTTGCTACCATTCTCCCAGTACCTCCCTTCATAGTCAGGCTTTAAGAAAAAAATAGTCTATGCTTTGCACTGTCTTCCTTTCTTGGTCTCTTTCTCTTCCATGTGCTTGCAGTCTGCTTGTTTCTTTGTTGTGTTTTCACTTGCTCTGACCATCCTTCTAAAACAGTGCTCAGTGAACCTCTGCCAACCTGCGATGTTTAATAGGCAGACAGCCTTTGTGTCTCTAGTCCTCTCCAGTACACTTAAATGGCTGCTTTTCTTCTCAAAGCAATTGGATTCTTCGACAGCAATCCCTTCTGACTCCTTTTGTCTTTTGCTTCTCAGTGTTAGTGTGGGTACCTTTTCTTGTTACTGCTTCGTAAATGTTGATTTCCCTCAGTATTCCATTCTCAGTCATCTTCTCATGACCATTTTCACCCTCCATTCTGCTGGGCCCATGGCTCCACCATTCTGGTCTCCTTCCTGAGCTCTTGACCTATCTGTTTGCCTGCTGGCATCTGTCCCTGTATTTCATTTATACCTAAAATTCAGAATGCTTCAAACTGAGCTAATTAGCCTTATCAGACCCATTCCTCTGCATGAGTGATACTACTAGCCGCCTAGTTGCCTTAGCCAGTGACTTGGAGGTCATCCCATACTTTCTTTTCCTTGCAGATCTAATCAGTTGCCAAGTCCTGATGATGCAGTCTTTCCACTCCCTTCCTTGTTTTGGTCGGTCTGTTGTCTCTTTCCAGAGATGTGCAATTCTGACTGTCTCCTTACTGGCTCCCCTTATCCATCCAGTCTTGTCCCCTTGCTATTATCTTCCACTCTGCTGCCCAAATTATCTTAGGCACTCTTAAGATCTTCAGAGGCTCTCCATCTTCCATCTTCCGTGGGATAAAATTTAAGTACTTTGGCATAACAGGTTGATAACATTCTTGACCTGTTTCCCATCTTATACTGTTTTGTTTCCTTTCACATCTGCTAGGTCACATACAGTAGTGAACAAAATCAAGGCATGGACCCTCTCCTCAGTAGAGTTTATGGTCTAGTGAAGGAGTAACAGTGGCCAACATTTACTGAAGGTTGTCATGTGCCACACATTGCCTTTCTAACTCAGAGAAGCCTATCTCATTTCTCTTGTTTTTTTGTCTGTTTCGACACCATGTATTATAAATGTACCACTTTGTTGTGAACTTGCCTGTCTCTTCAGAGACTGGACTATTGAAAGTCCTTTAATACTTTAATAGTCTCTTTATCTTTCTATCCCCAGAGGGGGGAACTAAGTGAAGCCTAGTAAATGTTTTCTGAATAAATGAATGATCTTTATCACTCCTGCTACCCATTCTCTCCCTTCCTTAAGGTCCCTGTCCAGCTGTATTTTGGGACTGATGTTCAGACCTCACATGTGCACCAAAGCTTTCTATTTTATTTTGCCAAGCAATCCTTAAAATCTTACAGAACTATTATAAGTGGGAAATCTGGTTTTCCCTATGGGCCAGTATTTTGCAGCTCAGTTAACCTTTATAGACTCCCTGGTATTGCTACAGTAGCCCTGGAGTTCTAGATCAGGGAATGAAATTGGGTATGAACGGGGTGTAAAGTAACTCTCCAAGAGCTTTAAATGAACTTGTGTTGCTGTGCTATTCCCTGGCAGTTTTTTATTTTGTTGTCCTTAATCTACAATTACATGAAGAACATTATGTTTACTAGGGTCCCCCCTTCACCGAGTCCCCCCCACAAACCCCATTACAGTACTGTCCATCAGCATAGTAAGATGCTGTAGAATCACTACTTGTCTTCTCTGTGTTGCACAGCCCTCCCCATGCCGGCCCCCAAATTATACATGCTAAGTGTAATACTCCCTTTTTTTTTCCTACCCTTATCCCTCCCTTCCCTCCCATTCTCCCCATCCCTTTCCCTTTGGTAACTGTTAGTTCATTTTTAGGTTCTGTGATTCTGCTGCTGTTTTGTTCCTTCAGTCTTTGTTCCTCTACTCCACATATGAGTGAAATCATTTGGTGTTTGTCTTTCTCTGCCTGGCTTATTGATACCCTCTAGCTTCATCCATGTTGTTGCAAATGGTAGGATTTGTTTTCTTCTTATGACTGAATAATATTCCATTGTGTATATGTACCACATCTTCTTTATCCATTCATCTACTGATGGACACTTAGGTTGCTTCCATTTCTTGGCTATTGTAAATAGTGGCTTTTGGATGTAGAGTTCTATAGATGCCTATTAGGTCCATCAGTTCTAGTGTTTTTCAGTGCCTCTGTGTCCTTACTTATTTTCTGTCCAATGGATCTATCCTTTGGAGTGAGTGGCGTGTTGAAGTCTCCTAAAATGAATGCATTGCATTCTCTTTCCTCCTTTAGTTCTGTTAGTATTTGCTTCACATATGCTGGTGCTCCTGTGTTGGGTGCATATATATTTATAATGGTTATATCCTCTTGTTGGACTGAGACCTTTATCATTATGTAATATCCTTTATCTTTTGTTGCTTTCTTTGTTTTGAC